AAAATGCACCAAGTGCTCTCTGGTCTTTCACGATGACAGTGAGCCGGCGGCTCCTGCAGTGTCACTCAAGGGCCCCGGGCTCTGGGACGCCGACGGATGGCCCTTGGTCAAGCGTTTCCTCAACTTAGAAGGTTGTGGGACACTTACATTTGTCGATAAGTCCTCAATAAAGTTTTTTAAAAGATAAGCTGTGGGAAGGATTTCTTTTCCTAATACTTATTAAAAATAGTAAGGGCCTAGGACCCTAAATTTTACACTCATTACCCCCCACCCAGAGTAATGTGAGAATTACTTTTAAGCATAGGCATTTTGATCCGGCCCAGGATGTGGGTTAGCTGGGACTTACTGCGGGATGGGACACAAAGCAAGGGTGGGGTGAGAGGTAACGCTGTTCCAGGCACCGAGAGGGAGGGCCCACGTGACAGCCACCTTGGTGCCTGAGGCTCGGGACCTCTTCCATCACAGCCCAAGGAAACTTGGAAATGAAGGGCCCCGGGCTAAATAACGGTGGGCTGCAGAAGGCGGCTGGAGTCCGGCCACAGACGGTCCAGGGCAGGCGACTTCAGCCCATCAGCAGGTGGCTGGCTGGACTCCAGCCCTGACCTGGAGTTCCAGGGCCAGGCTCAGGACCCTGGAAGGCGGGTAGGAAAAGATGAAGCCGGGCCATCCAACAGAGGACGGGGCACCACATGGGCTGGATCTCAGCCACGGAACTAGGGCTGGGGCTCGGTCACGGCAGGGGGAGGGGCGGTGAAGGAAGAGCCCAACGCTGAGAACCAGCGCCCAGAGCCAGGCTCTGCTAGCAGCCCGTCGCCTGGCTGGCACTGGCACTTCGGCCTGGGAGAGAACAGGGTTTCCTAACTCCTGACCGATGAGAGCTGAGCGCCGGAAGTGGGGCCAGGGCAGAGTCTGTAACGAAGTGGCCCAGTTCCGGGCAGGGAGATGGACTCGTACACACCGGGGGCCCTAGAGTCAGGATCGGCAGAGAGAAGGGGCCTCGCTGGGACCCTTGAGGCAGTCCCAGCGGCCCTGTGGGGTGGTGTCAATCCTGGGACCCGCCTTCCCCTCTGCCACCACTCCCGCTCTGGGGAGGGGACCAGGCAGGGTTGGACTCTGGAACAGAGCAGGTGTCAGACGAGGCTGACTGGATGAACCAGCTTCAGGCTCGATGGCCTCAGTCACAATTCGAGGAACAGCACCAACAGGCCAAGCCGGTGTATCTGGGACCAAGTGATGGATAACTCCAGTGGCCGCCACTGCTAGGGGCCCAGGCAGCCCAGTTTATAAGGCTGGATGCAGAGAGTCCACTCAGACTCAGGCAGAGAGGGACGGTGGGAGAGAAGGGTGCAGTCCCTGGGTTTTGGATCAGGGTCACAGTGGGGCTTAGAACGAGGCAAAGCTGCAGATCTAAACTACGGAGCAGAGCCCGAGGCCGAGGCCGGCGGAACAGCCACCTGTGCGATGAGACAGGAAAATCAGAGCACCTACCTGCCCCCCGTCTGACTGACAGCAAGGGAGCCAGCAGCCCTGCCAGAGGCCACAGGCGTGGTCCGACCCAGCGCGCCCTGTCCCCAGGCTGGTCAGCACGTTCGAAGTCCCACCGGGCCAGTGGGATGGACCCTGCCTGCGGGAGGTGCCCGGGGTCCCAGCATGAGGACTTGAGGCAGGCAGGGGGAGGAAGACGGCACATGCTCGCACACCGGCCGTTCTCTGCGCTTCTCTGCGGGGAGGGTGCGGCGGACGCAAGGCTGTCTTTCTCTGCTGACAAAATCAGGCGATTTCCACCACTCTCCACCTCACCGACTCAGCTGCCACAGGCCCTGCGACATCTACCTGGGCCACTGTGTCCCAGCCATCTCTCCTCCTCCCTACAGCTCTGCCAAGAGGAAAGAAAGTTGAGAAAATTGCCCCAAACTGCAGCCTCCCATAAGGACACAGCAGATGAGAAAGGCGGCGTTAAAGATTCGCTTTACACTCGCCGGGTTAGCGTTCCGGGCCCTGGGCACCAGCACCAGAGGTCACTGTCATGTCATATTGGAAACTCCGAGCTGCAGAACCTGGAGTTGCCCCCTTGACCCTCCATCCAGCTCCATCACCCAAGGGGGTAAACTATACATGAAGCCTTCGACAGCCCGTCTTCAGCTTCCTCCTGGGGGTGGGAGTGGGGGTCTTAGACCCACTCTCATTGTCACCTCTCAGAGGCACATTTCCGCTCTGCACTCCTGGGTCACGGTGGGTGGCATCTCGGTGGGTCAGAAAGAGCTGCACGTAGGAAACAGAGCCCCAGCCCCAGGCACCTAGGACTCCTCCACTCCGGCTGTTTCACGGACTTTAAAGAGAAAACCTGTCCTCAGTCCTTTGTGCAAAAGTGTCAGCTGACCACGACACAGGACGGAAGAGAACGAATATGATTTCTGCAAGGTCACTGGGCTCCAGGTATTGCATGAGGTCTTGTCTTTCGCTGCTTTATCTCATTTCGTCTCCACGATGACCTCCAGGCAGTTTCGTTATCATCCCCATTTCACAGCTGCGGGAAACAAAGCTCAGAGGAGCTAACTCGTTTCCAAGGATACACATCCCTTTCCTCAGCTCAGTGGTTGTTAGCGTCTAACTGGCGTCAGAGTCACCTGGACGGCTTGTCACAGCACAGATTTCTGATCCCCCATCTCTAGAGTCTCTGGTTCAGTAGGTCTGGGCGGGGCATGAGAATTTTCATTGCTGTCAAGTTCCCGGGTGATGCTGATGCTGCTGGTCTGGGGACGCCACTTTGCGAACCAGCGCTCTACGCCATGAAGCTTTCCATCAGACACTACGCCCAAGACAGCCGATTACAACTCAGGACGCCTGGAGGCAGTGTGAGGCTCCAGACTGCACGCCGTCTGGACCCTCACGCCGCAGGGTCACGAGAGCAGCCAGGGGCAAACGCCCCATCCAGGCAAAGCCCGGCCGTCAGCAGGGACTCTGGTTCTCTCTGATGACCATAGCCTCTCCTCCCTGCCAGGTTCACCCTGTGGGGAGTGGATAACACAGGACGGCGCTCCAGGCCGAGCGACGTGATCGTGAAGACCCCTTGCCCTGTGGTGGATGACGTCAAAGCCCAAGGTAAGAGACACTGAGGCCAGCAGGTCTGCAGAGGGTGCCCTGGGGTGCCCCTCGCTGTGAGGAAAGTGGCAGCAAGTGAGTCGGGAGGAACAACCTGGAGTCCAATGGGGGAGGAGGAGAATTCAGGGTCCAGCGCGGGAGCGTCACCTTTCCAGGGGCACTGCTCAGCCTCGGCCCCTGGCGGAAGCCTCCGCGCATCCCACCCTCCCTGTTGTCCATAAGTCAAGGAGCCAATAGGAGATGTGGGTGAAGGCCCCAGGCACACATGGTGATGCGCCAGGTGCCTGGTGTGGCTGAAATCCTCGTGACCTCTGCCCTCAGGAGGCTGATCAGGTCACTTACTCTTTTCATACTTTTTTGTACATCTGAAAAGTTATTTTGAATTAAAACACAGAAAGGCCGCAGATTTGGAATTCATTGCTATACCACTCCATCCCTTGATGAAGATCTCTCCGAATCCTTTTTCTGTATTTACAGACCAGTTCTTTGGTAAAGAATTGTCCCTCTGCAGTGCCCCAGGATCGGCCCTTATCAGTGAGGAAGAGTTTGTCTTTAGTCTCCATCCAGTGCACAAAACAGCACCTCTTGGGGCTCCCTTTCCCCATGATGCTCCCTGGCTGGTCTTGACACTGTCCCCAGTTCTGAGGCTTATCACATCCCCTCCACAACCAGAATTCAGCTCTCCAGGACACCACTTCTCCAGGGCTGTAATTAAGATGATCTCATCAAGCACTAATACCTGTTCAGTAGAACTGAACTATTTGCACACTCACAGAGACATTGACTGAAGCTGGAAGTTTAGGTCATGCAAGTTTCAACAAGGGAAATATCGTGGCCAAACTGGTCTCCTCGTGGCCCTCAAATCATCTTACATAGGGTTCCTGACTCCAGCTGTGTCAGGCTGACCGCGAGGGGCACCATCCCACAACATGCAAGGGGTGACAGCATGATGGTGCAAACTCACAGGGGGAAGAGTGGCCTGAACCTGCTTTAATTAAGGTCCCTGATCCTGTAGCACTTTACAACTTCTGAAATGACTTTCGCATTTATCGCCTCCGTTAGCACGCACGGCGCGTTAAGGGCACTGTTTATCTAATCATCGTAAGGCTCCTTAAAACTCTTTACTGGATGCCATTCTTCTTTTGACAAAAATCAAAATATTTCACAAGCACATTGGGACCTAAGCGGGGTGGCCCTTGCCCACTCCTCCAGCCTCTTCTTGCCCATTCGTCTCACCGATGTCTGCCATGCAGCCTTTGCATGTGTCGATGTCCTTACCTTGAATGCTCTCCACCCCCACCCCTGTCCACTGATTAACTCCTCTCAGCCCGCAGATCTCAAAGTATCCCTTCCTCAGTACAGAAGAGGTCAAGGGACATCACGAGATGTCCTCAGGTACCATGCTTCTTTCCTTCGGAACATTCATCTGCGTTTATTACTATCATCACATGTTCGATGTCTGTCTACGTCGCTGGACAGAGAGTTCCATGAGAGCGAAGTCTCCGTCTCTTTTTGACCACGGCTGTGTCCCCAGCACTTAGAAGGCAGAATAATGACCAAATGGTTGATAGAAAACATAGATTCTGGAGTCAGAGCTCCCAGGTTCAAATTCCTGCTCCACCATCTAACTCTGTGGCCTTGAGCAAGTTATTTCATCTCACATCTCAGTTTACTAATCTGTAAAGTGGGGTGAGGGATAATGTTACCCTAGATAATAAGTCTCTAGTCAGGATTAAATGAGTGAGGTCAGGCGAAGTCTTTTTTTAAGTGCCCGTCTCGTAGTAAGTGTTCAGGGACTGTTAGGGAGTACCCATTCCGGGGCAGTGTCCCTCGTGATCATCCTGATACACCTGGGGTCAGGGGCCATGAATAAGGCACCTGGTGGGGCACCAGCAAATCCACCTGGCCACGATAGTTCTCTTCTGGAAACTTGCACAATGGAAACTTCTGGCATCAGGCAACGTCCCTAATAACATGCAAATGTTCTTATACAAATGCTGTCGTTGACCATGTCTGCTTTTCCAATAGGAGTGCAGTAAGTATTTGCTGAAGGAATAGAATATTGGCCCCATTTTGTAGATGCAGAAACTGAGGCCAGAGCAGAGCAGATAAGCTGGCCAGGGTCACGCCGTCAGCGTCCAGCACTCACATTCATGATCTGACATCGATTCCCATTTGGCCTACAGCGTTAAATTAGATATTGAGAGGGTTGTTATATAAAAGACTGAAAACCTTTCTTTGTCTCTGAATACTGGTGAAGAAAAGACCTACGTTAAAAAAAAAAAAATGGAATATTCAAGTTAGATACCAAAACACTCTTCCTTTCAGGACGATCAGTGTCCGCCGGGATGTGACAGCAGGACAGAGACCTTTACGTGTGAGACAGACGTGCTTCTCTCTGCAGCGGGTTCTGCCTGGCTTGTGGGGTGTGGGCTGAATGACTTGCGAAGGTCTCTGCAGCCCCCCGCTGATAAAAGCAGAGCCTGGGGTTGAAAACCCCCCGGTGGGACACGGGGAGGACCCGTGGCCCCCTTATGTCACCACCTATTGGTTTCTCACTCCATGCCGGAGCAGGTGAGGTGCCCTAGCTATTTCTGTCTTGGAGAATGTGCTGATGCCCTTCCGGCAGCCGTGGGCACCTTGGACTTGCTTGCTGAATAGGCGGCAGGCTGGTGGGACACCAGGGAGGTGATTAGCAGGTAGGAGGGGGCAGCGTAATGCTACCTGCGGGAATAGATGGGTGGAAAGCAGCTCTGACATAGTGGCTGACATAGACTGGTCTGCCCAGGGGAGGCCACCAAGCTGTTTCTCTCGGGGGCGCCTTTGGGTTAAGTCCAGCTCCTTCCGGGTATCGAGAGGGGCCTCTGATGGCTTGTGCTCCCTGATGAGGAGTCGCTTCTGAGGTCCCAGCCGGGAGCACGAGAGGCCATTTCATGCTTAGAGAATGAGCCGACATTCCCAGGTCAGTCCTTCCAGGGCAAATGTCGAGATTAATGAGTCAGACTAATTAAGAGTGGCCTCACAAATTAATACAGTTCTAGCAGTTCTACCAAAAAAAGAAACACAAATGCTTGGCCTCCTTCGAAGCCAGATGGTGATCATAAATACAGCTCACTCGGGTGTGAGCTTACACCTAGTCACAGATGGGAATTACCTTTCAAGTGACCTAGAACAGGGCTGCAGCTCCTGGTTAGCCAGCAGGAAGCCACACTCGATTGCTGAGTGAACACTCTTCCTAAACCGGTTACTTCCTGTGAAGATTTTTACCACGTCATGACACTAAAGCCACCGTGTAAGTTTCTCCCAATGTGTTACCGGAACTCCCCTGCCCCCAGTGGGAACAAGCTAGCATCAGTAACAAGATCAGCCAGGCTCTAGGCTGGGGCGTGGCCTTCCGGGGTGTTCTTCATGAGGTCCCAGAGGAAATAGTTTCGAGAGGATGAATTGGCATAGATAGAGCAGCGGCTCTCAAAGTGCCATCCAGGCCAGCAGTGTCGGCATCATCTTGGGACTTGTTAGAAATGCCAACTCTGGTTCCACATGAGACCTGCTGAATCAGAACCTCACAACCTGTGTGTCCACAAGCCTTCCAGGCTGAGAATCAAGCTTGATTCTCAATAGAGAATCGCTAGTGTGCAGGGACACAGGGCAGCACAGGGAACGCCGTGGGCAGGGGAAGGACAGACAGACTTGTAGGGGGCGCAGCTTGCAATTTGGACAGTGCTCAGAACGACAAAAACATAAGGCCATCTGGGATTCATCGTTTCCATGTGGAATTCTACAGTCAGTTACTTCAGTGTGGGCCAGACCGAGGTCTCAGGTAGCTCTCCAGGAATAATGACAGTGATGACCTAGGACCTCTGTACAGGGACCTTTGTCATAGCAGCAAGGGAGCCGTGAGCAGAGGCGTAGATGCTGCCCAGGATTCTTGTTTCATTGTAAAAAGAACAGCGGCACTGGGAGAATAAGAAAGCTCTCTCTTCTGCTCCTGGATTCGCTCCCTCATTTATAGGAGGCTACCTTCCCCCCGGTCTCTTGGACTCCTGCATTTCAGTCTCTTGGGGAAAGCGTGATCTAGTAGACACCTGGTGATAATAATCCCAAAATAACGTCTGCTATCGTCCGGCTCAGGCCCTCACCTTATTCCAGACACTATGGTTTATTTGCCGTTTTTGGATACGCTGCCCAGCACAGCCCGGGAGCCTCTGTGCTGGCAGCTCATCTCCCTGGCACGCTCGCCCCTGCCCGCCCCCCGGACGGCCCTGCAGCTCATTCGCTCCCTTCCTCCGACTCCGCTCGGGGCTGGAATGTCAGCTTTTCCGTGAGACCTAACGTGACACCCTCTTTAAAATCACAATGCCCCACCTTCCTCCCCCCCTTTTATTCTTCCCTTTCTCTGAGACATTACGTTCTGCTTATTTATTATGTGTATCGCTTAACTGAATGTCTCCTACCCCTAGACTGTGAGGGCCGTAGAGGTGAGGATTTTTGTCGGTTTCTCACTGATGTACCTAGAAAAACGGAAAGCACACGGTGAGCGCTCGGTAAACGCGGTATTGAATGAATGGATGGATGGATGCTCCCTGTGTCCGAACACTGAGCCAAAGAAAGGCTTTCCATTTAATGTCACCTTTAATCTCACGATAATCTTGAAATGTATATATTATTGACTATCATTGAACAGACAAGGAAATTAAGGCCCAGAGAGGTTCAGTAACGTGTCCAAGGCCACACAGCTAATATAGTGGAACCCAGCTCCGTTTGATGCCGTAGAGCCTGTTCCTAACCGTCCTCCCTGGTCCAAAGGCTTCAGTCCCAGCCCTGTTCGTTTATTCTGCCACCTGAGAGATCTTGGCTCCCTTCTAATGACTCGGTTTCCGTTCTTGTGCTGCGGCTGTGTGTACAGGGTCCCTGCCTTGTCTCCACCTGCATTTTAACTGTCCTCGGACATCACGCACGTTGAAGGAAGGGAAGACGGATACGGGTCTGGGTAACTCAGGTCCTCTGTGAAGCTGGAAGCTGGGAGAAGGGATAAACTGACAAGAAAAATGCCTTGTATTCTTCTCTATTCTTAGAGTTACTGAATTCTTGAGACGCTGTGAAAGTTAATGAAGTAATATCTCTAAATTCTGTCAATGGAGAGAGAAGGAGCCAGAAACACTCAAGCTCTAGGAGACCAGCGTATAGATCGTTCTGAATACGGCATCCTGTTTATTAACTTAGGCTTTTAAGCACACCCTGGAGTTCGCTTCTCTTGGTTTCGGGAGATTCGTGGAGGAACCAGGGCCCGTCCCACCTGGTCTCAGGGGCACAGGCCGCTGCTGATGGGAAGCACCAGCCTCCTCTAGCCGGACGCCACTGTCGTGATGTGAGAATAGTCGGTGTGCCAGGAAACTCCTTCTCAGCGGAGACCCCCGCCACCAGGGCTCAGGGCCTGGGCCACTACTGCCCGTCCCCAGAATTAAGGACAGATTTGTATCAGTAAAAGGGTGGGAGAGGAACCCCAAACCTCCCCACCTGGGCTCTGGCCTGATCACCCACACTTTTCCTCCCCTGTCACCCACGCCCTGCCTCCCACCGAACACATCGCGACTCTGAGAACAGTCCCCCTGCTTCTTTCTGCCTCAACTCCAGAAGCGATGGACGCCGACTAGGACTTCCTCTTACTTGGCATCTATGGGCCAACCAGGGCATGGTCCTCTACTAGAAGTAGTCGCCCCATAAGCGCATCCCCCAAGACTGCCTCCTGTATCTTAAGTTGGTTAAACACCGCCATGCCCTGAGCATCAGTACACGAGGGCACAGGAAGACAGACACAGTGTTGAATCTTGGCTCTGTGACCCGGGGTGGGTAACTTTGCCTTTCTTCGATCGTCCTTATTTGTAGACCAGGGACAGTCACATCCATTTTGCAGTGGTGGCGTGAGGGTTGAAATTCACATACGTAAAGCTCTTGGCAATCAATAGGCCTTTATTAAATAACTGAGGATACCATAGGTCTTAATTTTCTAAATCACTTTCCTTGTTAATCTCTTGATTCTATTTTAACCACCTGAGGATTTTAAAATCCTGAAAATTTAAATGCATTTCTGAACGAAACGTTATTTTTAACGCAGCTAAAGTGGCCGGCTAGAAGACCTTAGTTGCTAAAAGACTGGTATAGCCTGGTGTGGAGAGATATCACTGAGAAATCCTCTCCCGGTTGCTAAAAGACTGGTGTGGAGAGATATCACTGAGAAATCCTCTCCCAAAGTAGAGTCAGATTGCTCCCAAGTCATGAGTTCCCTTCGTTTGGCTAAGGTTTTTTGATCTACTATATTGTCTGGCCTTGGGCTAGCCACTCCGAACACCGAGGAGGTAAGATTGGGCTCCTGTCCTCATTAGCAATGGGCAAGATAGAAAAGGAAGGAAATTATTTCAATGTCTAGGCAGAGTAGGGGTAGAAGTATATGCATTCCAACCCAGGAGACTCCTGCAGTGATGACTGTCATGACCAGCAGCCCTGGATTCACTTAGAATTGTGACAAGGAATCAGGTTGCTATGCCTTTAAACTAGCAGGGCATCAAATGGGCAGTCTGGCTTAGAAACCTATACAGACTTCGTTTCTTCATCTCCACATTTAACATTGGCGCTGAAACAAAGCATTGCTCGCCCATCTTAGTTCCCAGCTGTTTAGGAAGGAAATGTAAACAAATCTCCTTTCTGACAGGTTTAATGAGAAAACAGTGCATGATAAAATGCTTTGAACTCTCTAGGAGAAAATGCCAAGTTCAGCTTAGCAATGCATGCCTTCGAGGCAGAAGTATAAAAGATATAAATTAAACTGAAAGATTACTCATTTGGAACTGCAGAATGTACTGGAATTCATTTATGTGTCGGCAAGCGTGTCTTCATATCTGGTTTGGGCGGCCCCAGCAAAGGTTCTGCAGTCATGGGGCCAGGTCGCTTTTGGTACTGTGGCTATTTCAGGTTCAAGTTGCTCAAGTCAGGACCTGACAGTGCCTCACTTCACCCCTGAGCCAAATGCCTGCCCCCGGCTGCCCGGGGCTTCGCTATTGCCTTTTGTAGGACCCACTTGGTCCCCAAGCAAACGCAGCTAGAAGTACAGAGGAGGTAATGTCTCGAGGGGCAGATGTGAAGCACCGTGGGCCAACCACGGGGTGGACCTAGAGCTAAAGTCTTCTTCCTTCCCCCTCACCCCATGGACCAGTGGGGATCCGGTCCCTTCCTACGTCCCCTCTGGCAAACGCAGCCACCAGCTCACTCCTCTCTGTTGGCTCTGCCTACTTTCTTGTCACATTTCCTTTTGTCCTCCCTCATGCTTCCCTGGGGTCACACTTGCCAATAAAGTATTAATCTATGAGCTTTTGCCTCAGGCTCTGTATGTTTAGAAAACATGGGTAAAGACAGAATATTATAACTGACATTGACCTTGGAGGTATTCTATTCGAAGACTTACCGGATGAGGCAGCCGTAAAGTAAATTAGTCAACCCACTTTCTCCATGCTCTAGGCTAAGCATTCTTTAAGTAACGTCACACACACACACACACACACACACACACACACACACACACACACACACACGTGTACATGTATATGTGCATACACACACATCCACGCACATGCTTACATACGTGTCTGTATACATCATTTATATACATATATATAATCTTATTTATTTGCCTTATCTGCCCTCCTCAGAAATAGCAGACAAGATCTACAATCTCTTCAATGGCTACACGAGCGGGAAGGAGCAACAGACAGCCTACAACACCCTTCTGGACCTCGGTTCCCCCACCCTACATCGAGTCCTCTACCACTATAACCAGCATTATGAGAGCTTTGGAGAATTCACCTGGCGGTGTGAGGACGAATTAGGCCCCAGGTAATCATTAAACTTCACTGCCTCTTTTAAAGACCTCGGCTCTTTGAAATTGGGTACCTCCTCCTCTATAATAATGCGCTCAGGCGTTTGCATCCATATCCTGGGTGAGCTTAGGTGCTTGGAGAAGTAAGCCCTGCGCTTTAGACAGCTCAGTTCGTACAGATTAGTTTTGGATAAGCTGTATTTAAGTAGTCAAGTCATGAATGCATTTCCTGAACCTGGAAAAAAGTTTGCCCCTGACCTGCTTTGCCTCCCCTGTCTACCATGCTGACACAGCATTTCAAATGCTAAACCCGTAGGTGCCAAAAGCTTAGTCTTGTGAAGGAAAATTAGGGAATTTATTGAAGAGGTTATCCAAAAGTATTTACTGCATACGAACTTTGCATATATTATGTGCATTCTACAGATATATTTTGAGCTAAATTCCACACTCTCAAAAGACAACGTGGGGGCAGTCAATGACCCACCTTGACATCTATCTTAGCTAAAGTTAGGATAGTATCACGTTTGCTAACTTCCTCTGACCCCCAGGCGACAACTTTCGAAAACTCAGTACCCACTGCTTTTAGATTGCAAGCCCAGACGCATGTCTTTCTTTGAAAGAGAGGAACAGGAAGAATATGTAGAATAACATATTCATTTGCTACTTTGAGAAAAACAATTTCCTTGGAAATTCTAGAATTTACAGAGATAGACAGGGTGAAGAGGCTTTTACAGAGAATGTTGGTACCTGTATGTCCCAAAATTATTTAGCATCTCATGAAGAAAAACAAAATATGGCAAGAATTTGAGAATAGAGAAAAAAGAAAAAAAATGAAGAAAATCAATGTGGTTGTATCCTCTGGCACTAAAAGAATTTTTGCACTCCAGATAACAGGGCTGAACGAAAGTATCACCCAAAAATCATCCCATCCATCTGACCTCTGACCAAACCAGGGGGCGACCCGGCCTCAGTGTGCCTCCTCTTGTAGCCAGAAATTATAAACTTTCCTAAAAGACCATTGTTCAGGACATTTCCCAAACAATTCTTTCTTTTGAAGGAAGGAGGAAATTTAGGATTATCTTCCTGACATAAAATGACGTCATGTGTAAGGTCAGGAAGAATCTTTGTGCATTCCGTAAATTTCTTCCTGACGTCGATAAAGGGTGGGAATCCTTGAGCAAACAGGTGCACTACTGTGGACCAAGACACAGAGGACAACAGACAAGGGACTTTTCATTTGTTTTGTCACGGTTCTGGTAAAAAGCCAACCCTAGGTTAGGAGGTTAACACGTACTAAGAAATGTCCTCTCTGCTCCATACCTTATCACACCCCTGCCCTCCTGTCACTCACGTCATCCCCCTCCCCAACGCCCTGCCACTTCTCCCCCATTCCCTCCTTCCTCTTTGCTCCCCCACCCTTCTCCTCCTCCCTATCCTCCTTCCTGTGACATTTATCGTGTATATATACAGCTCTCTGTTAGGGAACATAAATGTCACAATTTGAATAGCACAGACATTTCATATATCATCTCGATTTCCAAGGGCGCTTGGATTGCCAGTTCCTCTCTTGTAACTCAACAGTCAGAAGGAAAATTCATTAATGAGGAAAGTGAGCAGAGGAAGAAATGTAGGTCTCGCTGTAAAGTGAGGCCTGCTGCTGACTATACACGCCTTTCCCCAAACTCTCCTTCCAGGAGACCTTTATACTGCTTTTTCAAGGCTGTATAGAGATTAGAAAAGAAATGTGTAGCTTCTTTAGCTTGTGGAAAGTAAAGTTTTTCTTATTAGTGCCGTGGATCTCAGGGAGAACCACAGGAAAGAGAAAGTCTTCTGCCCTGAGATACATCAGCCCACTTTGCAGTCAGTTGTGAGAGTCTGTTGAGTACCTAGTACCCACTTCCTGTGAGCACGCAGAAGGGATTCCCTCAGCTCAGTGCTGTCCATTTCCATGAAAATTCGTGGAGGTCTCCAGACTGAGCTGGGGGTAAAATATTTTGAGAACAACATTGGCTGCATTGCTATTAAGAAAGAGGGAGGCTACGGCCATGCCACCTTGAACAAGTCCGATCCCGTCTGATCTCGGAAGCTAAGCAGGGTTGGGCCTGGTTAGTACTTGGATGGGAGACCACCTAGGAAGACCAGGTGCTATAGGTTTAAAAAATAAGGGATTGTAAGCTGACAAGGTTCTTGTAATCTGTGAGGTCAACCAAGGGTTGCCTCGCCTAACAGAGTAAAAAAAATTAAAAAGAAAGAGGGAAGTCAAGGGCAGACCCAAATTAATTATTATTTTTGTAAAAGCGAGCAATGCGGGTAGCCCCAAAGACTCTATGGGCTAATCAAATCCATTTGTCGGAAAGGATGGCCGGGATGCGTTCCTGTATCGATTTCTCGAAGGTGGTAGAGATGCTGTTCCTCACTCTTCTTCCATTCCCCTTGCCTCCGCCTCCCCCAAATTTGTCAGCGACTCATGACATGCAGTAGGACAGATTAAGAGGGTGGGCCACCAAAGTCCCTGTTGGTGATGACTCTTGGAAAGCCTGCTTGGCCAAACTACAGAGTCTGACAGGCAGAGGAGAGACCATCTGCACAGGACGGTATTTAGTCGGCAGGCGGAGTGTTTGTTTGATTTCCTCTGACCCACCATTGAAATTGAAGGAAACATGCCTACCCCTCCGACGACCTCACACTGCCTTAGCCCCTCGACTTTGCTGCTGAAGCTCAACACCTTTCCTCCGCCATCGGCCCTGCCCCTCTCCCGCTCACCCGCCCAGGAATGCAGTGAGCTCACCCCCGATGCTCACTGCCAGGACAGAAGAGGAATGAAACCGATGTGGCCATTGTTCTCTGAATGCTTGCTCTAAATGGGCTGCAGACACTTCCATTTTCTGGAAGGAATTGTTGATTAAATGCGGAGAGATGGTTCCTCACCTGAGAAGTGGATAAAGACTGCAAGAGCTTTCATCGAGCTTTCGAGAACGGCGTTTCACAGCCTCACATGAGTTTGTTCAAATAAGAGACTCTCCCTCCACGGGTCTCTGGTCACTTGGGTCTTTGAAGAAGAAGAAGAACACGGCTGAGTGAGGGACTCCTGCTCCTGCACTCGTCCTGAGTCAAAACCAGGGAGGATCTGAGAACTGGCTACCAGGCAGTCCCTATCTGTGACACCGGAAATGGGTGCCAGGAAGAAGCCCACACGGCAGTGGGTAGAGGGTGGTGACAGCCCATGTCTCCAAGCTGTACGCAGATGTGACCACACCATTCTTGGCCTTTCCAGCGTGTGTGAACTTGGGGTACCACACCCCCTCTGCTCTCTTCTCAGGAATCTGCCACAGCTCAGGTGCTCTCTCGTCACCCCTGTTTCTGCTCTCGATTGGGGCTCGATGGCGGTGCCTTCCTTCCCGGGGGAGACGGTGCAAGGGAACATGAGCCCTCCCGGAGGTTAAGTGGGCAAAGTGCACCACTGAGTCTGCACTTTCCCCAAGAAGGACCCTACGTCGTCGCACACCGAGGGCGTCATTGTCCTCAACCGCATCACACCCTAATGACCGCCACACAGGAATAATTAGTTGCATTTGGAATAATTAGTTGCATTTGGAATCCCCCGAAGTTCAATATATCAGCTGCTTCCACTCAGTTCAGAAATAACCTTGAAAAGGGAAATAGTCAAACACCTTGTCATTTAATGATGATCAATTACTGGCTTTGAAGAAAATTGATTTGATTTGTCTTTCAAAACAGCCGACTCCATCATTCTAAAAGGACAGATGTTACCACTAAAATATTAGTTATTTTCTCTTCATTTTTCCTCTTGCATTTTGTTTCCGTTTCGCTCGGTAACTGCCCCGCTTTGCATAACCATCCTATTGATTAATTTTTTCATTCATTCATTCATTCTCTTGACAGATATTTATGGAGGGCCCCAGTTCTAAGTGCCAGTGATAAAACAATAAGCAAGACAGACCGGCCTCTGCCCCCTTGGAGCTTCACGTCTCCCCACTGTCTGCCTTTCCCGCTTTCTCCTCTTTCTAACCCCCGTGCTTAATCCCTAGGAAAGCTGGCCTCATCCTTTCCCAGCTTGGGGACCTCAGCAGCTGGTGCAACGGCCTCCTTCAGGAACCCAGGATAAGCTTGCGACGCAGCCCCCTCAAGTACCTGGGCTGCCGCTACAGCGAGATCAAGCCCTACGGACTGGACTGGTCAGAGCTCAGCCAGGACCTCCGGAAGACGTGCGAGGAGCAGACCCTGAGCGTGCCCTACAACGATTACGGTGACAGCAAAGACATCTAGCGCCATGATGCCGGAAGGACACGGGAGAGGGGCGGGGGATGTCTGGGTTGGTTTGCGGGTTTTTAATATTTTTTAATGGAACATTAAAACCTCCACGGGCACCATCGACACCAGGGAGAAACTGATCTTTGCTCCCTGTAGAACTCCTCGGCCTGAGCTCCATCCGCACGACCAGTGCGCACGCCTGCTGGCCAGTGGCTTCACTCTTTAGCCGACTATATTGGGAATTGTTTTTTGGTTGATTTGTTCCTTTTTCCCCCCAAGAGTTTCATCAGAATGCTCAAGAGTTCTGTCATCCTTCCCAGGAAAGGCCCATCAGGTCAGGCACCTCGTGCTCCCTGAGTTCCTGAGTCTGTTGCAACTGGGGACAGAGACGAGGCCAGAAAGCTGGGAGCCCAGCCGCGGGCCGCGTTTCACGCTGGGAGCCCAGGCCAGGACACAGAGAAGGACAAGAAGAAGATGGGGAAGGTGGCCCCTGTGTAGGTCTCATGCTCCCTGCCCACCCCACCCCCCAAGGCCTTCCTAACACTGACGTCGCCCCCACAGGTGAATCCAGCGTCTGTTCGGGGCCCCAGTGCGCTTCCTGGGTTTTCAGCTCCTCATCCATGTCACAGGACTAGAATCGATCTGCTCTGTCCCCTGCTCTCCCTTCTACCGTCTGTGAGAGGCAACAAAATGCTGCCTTCAGCACGCTCTACCTGGAAGAAGGTTAGCGATGCACGGTCTGGAAAAGAAGCGGACTTTACTGGTTTTTAAAAACTCCTGTGCCTCCAGGCTGAGCGTCTGCAGACCCCAGGATACACCAGTAGACACCAGGCTCCCAATCCTGTAGGGTCTGCACCGCTCACCCTGGACGGATAAGGCTCGTCCGATGTCTGCTGTGGGCCAGGAGGGGTCAGTACTGCCACGTCAGTGTTTCAGAGAACCGAAGTTATTACTTATCACAAAAAGCTTCTGTCCATTCCCCGCTCCCCTCGCTAAATTGAATTATGTCGCCAGTTGTACAAACCATTTTCCTGGATGAGCCTCGGCAGGAGGGTGGCACCATTTTCATCCCCACCTTGTTGCCAGGAGCAGCAGGCATTCTGTGTAGGTGCACCCCCCTGACTGCAGGTAAGGCTGGCCGTTGTTTCTGCCCCACTGCCCAAGCGTTGTCACGGGCGTCATGAGCAGAATGGCTACGGGAAGCCCAGCCTTTCAGAAAGCGCTCTGCAGGGCCACGTGGGCCACCCCGCTGGGCCCTAGCCATCCCCACACACCTCAGAGGCCTGATCACGCACTTTCAACCACCTTGCCTTTGACTGGGCCCCTGACGTGGAAACACCAGAGTAAACTCAAGAAGAGGCTGTCAGATCTATCAGGCCAGGCATTCAGCCATTGCGCTATACTGATTTTTTTTCTACACAGTAATAATGACAGGCTGCATCCCCTGCGTGCTTGCTGTATGCCGGGCGCTGCTGTAAGCATTTTACGTGTCACTGAATTGTCACCGCTGCCCGACGTGCTCTTCTCAGCTTCGGTGATGAGGAAACTGAGGCAAAGAGAGGGCGCACGACTTGCCCCGAACGCTGCACGCGCTCCGCCTGCGCTACAGCGTGGACGCCTGCGGCCGTGCTCCAGGGCCCGGGAGCGTAGCCCCGCTGCCCGCCGCAGCCCTGCCGTCAGCATTGCCAGGGCGGGTGGTGGCCGAGCGAGCCGCGAGCTCCACGGGTCCTGCCCAGGAGCTTCCGTTCCCCACGCCTCCGTGGCGCACCCTCGCTCTGCCCCTAGAGCAGCTCCCGGCCGGCCGGCTGTGCAGCACAGGCCGTCCCCACGGCCGCGGGAGCGAGCGAGGCCTCCTCCTCCCTCAGCACACAGTGCGCCCCTCGCTCTTCGCATCTTCCCCCAGAAGGAGTGACAGGCTTGCCCCCCGCCCCGGGGACTTCCCCGCTTCCAGGGCAAAGACTAGCAGGAAACTCGGGTCCCACCGTGGTAAATTCAGGGCCTCGGGTGACATGCCTCGGGGGCTGGGGGCTCACCATCACCGGGGAGGAAGATGCCCTAGGCAGCTGGACACCTACCAGTGGGCAGGCCGAGGTGGGACCAGCTCTGCCCTGCCACCGAGCCCCGTCCCTTCTCCAAGTCTGCACAGAAACCCAGGTCCACGAGCACGAGGGGGAGGTGTCGCTACCTTCCCGCCCCGCAGCGGGGGAGGTGCCAGCCAGCGGGCCATGGAGGGAGGACAGGGAGAGGCATCGGTCGCCCTTTCGGTCCCCTCCGTCGGTTTGATTAGAGGCTCCCTGTCGCCCCCTCTCCTCTGTCTTCCCTGCCCTCCCGAGCCCCTCCATCGCCTTTCCTCTGCTCGGCGCCGCTCTGCCAGCCTGCGACCCTCCCCTTCCTCCTCTGCCCCTCCCGCCCCAGGGGGCTCCTCCCCCCTCAGTGTCCCCTCGGGCCTCCTCCCTGCACCCGTGGGTGCACACAGACACACCCGCACCACTGCACACGCACGCACTACATACACACTACACACTACACAGTACTAGATACACTACACAGTACTATACACACTACATATACGCACAATACACACACTGCACACACACGCATACTACACACACACTACATATACACTGCACACACATGCACTACATACACACTATACACACTACACAGTACTAGACACACTACACAGTACTAGACACACTACACATATACGGCACACACTACATATACACACAATACACACACTGCACACACACGCATACTACACACACACTACATATACATGGCACACACACGCACTACATACACACTATACACACCACACAACACTATACACACTACATATACACAACACACACTACATATACACACAATACACGCACTGCACACACACACACTATACTCACACACGACATATACACTGCACACACGCATACTACACACACACTACATATACATGGCACACACACATACACATACACTACATATACACACAATACACACACTGCACACACACACACTATACTCACACATGACATATACACTGTGCACACACACATACTACACACACACTACATATACACGGCACACACACACATACTACATATACACTGTGCACACGCAAATACTACACACACACTATACACACTACACAATATTATACACACTACACATACACGGCACACACTGCATATACACACAATACACACACTGCACACACACACATACTATACTCACACATGACATATACACTGCACACACACACAGACTACATACACACTATATACACTACACAATACTATACACACTACACATACACAGCACACACTACATATACACACAATACACACACTGCACACACACACATACTATACTCACACATGACATATACACTGCACACACACGCAGACTACATACACACTATATACACTACACAATACTATACACACTACACATACACAGCACACACTACATATACACACAATACACACACTGCACACACACACATACTATACTCACACATGACATATACACTGCACACACACACAGACTACATACACACTATATACACTACACAATACTATACACACTACACATACACAGCACACACTACATATACACACAATACACACACTGCACACACACACATACTATACTCACACATGACATATACACTGCACACACACACAGACTACATACACACTATATACACTACACAATACTATACACACTACACATACACAGCACACACTACATATACACACAATACACACACTGCACACACACACATACTATACTCACACATGACATATACACTGCACACACACACAGACTACATACACACTATATACACTACACAATACTATACACACTACACATACACAGCACACACTACATATACACACAATACACACACTGCACACACACACATACTATACTCACACATGACATATACACTGCACACACACACAGACTACATACACACTATATACACTACACAATACTATACACACTACACATACACAGCACACACTACATATACACACAATACACACACTGCACACACACACATACTATACTCACACATGACATATACACTGCACACACACACAGACTACATACACACTATATACACTACACAATACTATACACACTACACATACACAGCACACACTACATATACACACAATACACACACTGCACACACACACACTATACTCACACACGCCATATACACTGCACACGCACTACATACACACTATACACACTACACAGTACTATACACACTACACATACACAACACACACTACATATACAGGCACACACACATACACATACACTACATATACACACAATACACACACTGCACACACACACACACTATACTCACACACGCCATATACACTGCACACGCACTACATACACACTATACACACTACACAGTACTATACACACTACACATACACAACACACACTACATATACAGGCACACACACATACACATACACTACATATACACACAATACACACACTGCACACACACACACACTATACTCACACACGCCATATACACTGCACACGCACTACATACACACTATACACACTACACAGTACTATACACACTACACATACACAACACACACTACATATACAGGCACACACACATACACATACACTACATATACACACAATACACACACTGCACACACACACACACTATACTCACACACGCCATATACACTGCACACGCACTACATACACACTATTGTACCTTGAAATCAGAGTCATCCAGTTGGAAAAACTGGGGAATTGTTACAGTTTAAACGTTCGCTTTAGGTTTCAGATACCTAGGCCTTATAGCCTATTATCCTCACTAGAAAAAAAAAATGTTAAATATTTCACAGCAAATTATAAACTTCAAATATTACTGTGCAGCGATGATTCTCATTTTTTCTCTGCCACCTTCTCCAAATAATTAGCCAATGAGATGTATTTATTGCGTATCTGCTGTAATTCAG